CCCTCCCTAATCTGACGATTATATAAACGCTGTAATTAATTTTCGCTTGTATTGGCAAGTACCTTTGTGTCTATCCTAGGCTTCCGCGGGCATCAACTGCTTCGGCTGCTTTGCTTCTTGAAAACTTTTTGACACTCATAATGACATGTTTTTATGGTCTTACCTCCTAACCCTTCCTTTCTGTGTTTCAGATTGATCGATCCACCAAACCTAGCGTATCAAATAAAGATTTGAGGTAAGTTTCGTGACTGGCCTACATTGGAGTTGGAAGAATTAGGATTGAAGTAACTCGGATGTCACCCCCTTTCGTTTTCGTTTTGAGAAATTCAGGATGATAATCTGGAGGAAAAAGGCGTTTGATCGTATGAATATTTCAATTCGTCAAGGTTTCAGAGAGGTTTTGCGTAGCATCTAATAGCTACTAATAAAATTAACCTTTTACTTATCAGAAGAAGATGGTTTGACCACTGGAACGAGAGGTTTATTGTCCTGAAGTTTTGGATTCCGTCGGGAATCCTTAATCATAATGGTAATGGTAAGATAGTCGGAGTCATGCGCAAATAGGGGTGAAACATGCACAGATTGCACGGTTCGTAGCGGTCATTCGCGTGCGTACTGTAATTATCCACCCCTGCAGCCACCGCTTGGGTCTTACTTGGTGCGGTGATGGTAAATAGGTACTCAACAATCGGTTACGGGCCCCACTCGTACTGTCGTGGCTTAGGGCTCACTCTCGAGCCTCGTCAGCGATTGTCGTGCTCAATAGAACCGAAGGGCGTTGATCGCTCCCAATAAATGACTTTAGCTATAGAGAAGAAGCCTTCCCAACCATATTACGTATTTTGATTTTCGCACCAATTAGGTCTCGGCAGCTTTTGAAAGGGTCTTTTTTTCACACCTTTTATTGTTATGTGTTGTAACCTTTTTTTACTCTTCACCTCCTTAGAGCAATTGAACCCGATTCTTCTGTGGTACGTTGACAATTTGAAAGACTAAGTGAATCATTTATCTTATTTTAACCCCCCCTCCCCCCTCCATATTCTATTTCATTCTCATTTCTGAAATCTTGCTTACACACTAAAGTAAATTAGAGCGAAAAACGCAGTTACTATTTTTGCCAATCACAAACTTTCTTTAAAATTATACCGCAATTTGCCAATATCTCAGAGGCCGCTCAAATCAGATTACTTTGCATTAGCAGCTTAAAGGACATCTCTTGTTCATTATTAGGAATTATCATGCCCTAGATTCGCACAACTTCTGGGAAAACAGAGCACAGTTGGGAATATAACAATATTTGTTCCCACAGACGAACTTGGTATAGTTTGTACTTTCGGCGATTAACACATTTGACGCAGACAGACTGTAGGAAATGGGGCAAATTGTAGGCAGAAAAACGGTTAACCCGACGAAACCGAACCCCTGATTTCCCGAATTCATGCCGGATGCACCGCGGTTCAGTGGCGGATGGTGAGCGTCTAGGCTATTCAACCAGTTGGTGTTAAGTCGTTTTAGCAAACAATTATTTTTGGTCATTCATCGTCAGGCCGGTGCACTGACACGGAGAATGAAACAGTCATTGCACGGCGGAAGCGAAACTAACTGGAACTCGAAATCCGATCCAAGTCTCTTCGGTCAGACTTTGGATCTCAAACGCTCCGACCTTAGCGAAGTTGGTTACCTTGAATCGGCTCTAGCAAATTGCTCTCAACAGTACTTAAGAAAGCCTCAAAGAACCACAAGTCCCCTAGCCAGGATGTTTGTTTGACAAAGAGTTGGAGGGACTAACACCCGTGGGTAATACAATACCTACAATTTACGGCCTCGCAAACGTTGGCAAAATGAAGATGCTGTCACTGGATGTATCCTCACTGTTAAGGTTATTTGTCACTTGTTAAGGTCGCAGGGTTAATCAAATCCATTGGAAATACTTACCCGTCCTTTGTGTCTAGACGGTCCGCTTGACGAACTTCAGTTATTTTGTGCTTTTGTTTTGACCTTTTACGTGCATAGGTTTGGGCCAGCCACAATGTTATTATTAAGTACATATAAAACCAACTACTTATGAACACGAAGTAGGCATTAATTACATATGTTAAAGTTATTGCCACTACAGAAAGCGGGCTCGTTTCCGGCGCCAAATTTATCTTGCTAGTATTGATTTTCCCCAATTAAGAGTCTTTCTGCGCCAAGCCTTTCTCACACAAACTACGTACTTTCTACTCTAATCTTTGGCTGAGTGAAAATGTAGACCTTATTTTGCTTTTTGTCCGCGTTCGATCGCAATGCCTTCTAGTTCCAATGCCCTTTTTTTGCTAAAATGTGCTATTGACATCCCGGAAATAATCATTATCCAGCTGTTTTTGATGCCGTTCTTCATGTATTTCTGGTGTTCAAAAATCCGAATACTTATTTGGAGGTTCATGTTTAGACGGATTCGACTGATGACGCCGTCCCTCGCTGGCCCTCAACTTCTTCGACCAATGGATTTTCGAGGCCGCCGACCTCTCGTAAGTTGTCTGTTTTTTGCAGACGCAATTCGTTTGTTTGCATCCGTTAATTTCAATCCAACCACCTTCGGGGGCGTTAACTTTCTACCGGATGGTATATGTGGTGCCTGTGTTATTTAGAGGTTCTTTTCACTTTTATAAAAACAACTAGTTTATTCATATCCAGTGCTGATTGGTTTATCCTTTTTCCTTACCAATTGTGGTTATTTCACACTATAAAAGGTCTTGATGTTTATTCGTTGCCGAGACCTTCATTTGTACCCTTTTCCTTGCTGGATGCAAACAGACGTCAACCGAGTGCTGTGCACGGGGCTAGTGAATATGGGCAACACCTGCTACATGAACAGCACCCTTCAGGCTCTTCTGCACAACTTTGATCTTCGAGAGTTCTTTATCGCCTATGATCCGCGCCAACGCCCGTGCAAAAAGAGCGGAATCAACAAGCTCTTCTCCCAGCTCGTGAGGCAACTTTGCCAAGGGGAACAAGGTGCTGTAGAGCCTACTGCGTTAAGGGTAAGACCTGTTCCCCTTCTGCCCTGCCCGGATTCTAAGCATTAGCACGTTAGGTTATTGTAGCTTTTTGGAAGTGATGTTTCCCTTCCTCACAACCCATGTAAAATCGGTGAATTCCTCTTAAAGCACTTTTATCTTTCTCATGTAATGGAAGCCACGCTTTTTTACGCCTCCCTCCATCTTCTTCTTCTTCTTCCTCCTCCTCCTCTTCCTTCTATTTCATCCATTTCTTAACGTCCTCTTTACCAATGTTGGTTTTGGCAACCGGGAGGAAGGTGATGCTTAACTGAACTACCTCATCCAATACTAATTGGCAAACCTGGTTTCAGTGTAGCCGTTAGAGTATTCAATTTTAACTCCAGGAATTTGCGGAGTGTTTGGGGAATAGAGTGTCTTATTTCCTTTCAATCTGCTGTCCTTTCGTTCTTCCTCTCCCTCCTTTTCCTTTCCCTCCTCCTCCTGGCTCAAATATCTCTACACTGCTACAACGCAAAAGCGCAAGCTCTCCTCGACGACCAACAAGCCTACAAACCCACGCCTTCCTCACAGGCTAAATCGATGATCAGTCAGCTAACTGGTCTCCTGAAACGGCTCCGACGCATCAGCGTGATATCGCAAGACGAATGACGACAAACCAAACCAAACGACACAGCACTGGCTCGATTTTACGGATTGCCCAAATTACACAAGCCCAACGTTCCACTCCGGCCAATCGTGGCAGCCCTACTTACAACCAATCTAAATGGATGTCACGAAAACTACACTTTCTCCGAGAGGGCTCGACGACCTATTTATAGCCGCTGTCCGGGGCAGAACGGTTCAATCAGATCAAACCATGGTATCTTTTGATGTCGTTTCACTATTTACAACTATCCCTCCGGACCTGGCACGCAACGTCCCGCGCAAATGACTTGAAGAGAAATACGATGAATCGAGGGGTCCTCCAAAAATTAACCATCTCGTGCAAATCTTTGTCTTCTGCCGAATTTTTTTCCACATTTAATGGCCTAGCATACGAACAGACCAAAGGAACGTCGATGGGATCCCCAATTTCCAGTCTCATCGCAGAACTGGTCTTACAGGAGCTGAAAAAAGTCGCCTTTGACCATTTTAAACCTGCATTCTGGTGCCGATAGGTGGACGACACTTTCGTTATAATCGAAGGGAGCGAGTTAGCAGACTTCCAAAACCAGCTTAACGGTATCTTTCCCGACATCCAATTCACAAAGGAGGAAGAGAGTACCGGACAACTACCGTTCCTGGATGTCCTCGTCATGCGCAGACCCAACGGAGAACTCAGCACCACGGTTTATAGAAGGGTGACTGACACAATCCAAGTGCCCAACTTTCATAGCAACCACCCAATAGCGCATCAACGTGGATGTATTAGAGCACTATTTCAGAGAATGAAGACACACTGCAGTGAACCGGAGGGACGAGTGCAAGAACTACGACATCT